TTAAGAGGCTTCAATTCCCCATCCAGCTAAGCTTTGCGATGTCCATTAACAAGGCGCAAGGACAATCTTTAAAAGTGGTGGGACTGAATTTGGCAAATCAGTGCTTTTCTCATGGCCAGCTTTATGTTGGATGCTCTCGTGTAGGCAATGAAAAATGTTTACATTACTTTGCACCGGCAGGCAAGACCAGAAACATTGTTTGCAAAGAGGCTCTTTGATAGGGGGGTATAGGTCAGAAAAAAGTGGCCGTTTCACCTGCGCCTACCAAGTGTCCTGTCGGCGATCTGGCTGGCAGCGGTTGTTTGCGGCACCGCCCGCGCGCTTTGTTCTTTCGCCTCGGATCTTACCTTCCCTACCTCCCTTCTCCCCATTCCCCCCTTATTCCTATTGCAAATTATATACCGTCTGTGTATTGTGAAGTGCCTCACTACAGTACGAATAAATACGTGTTTTTCTACCATTAACCATATACTTACGTACTCTTTGGTTCTATTCGGTAAGTCACGTAGGTAGAAAATAAAACAAAAATCACGACGTTTTGGCCACAATACAAGTGGCCTTCATTAGGTGAAGGGACCAGACTGTCTAAAGGACAGCGCTGAAGTGAACACAGCCAAGCTCAGACCGCGACCCTTTAAGCTGTTGAGAGGAACAGAGCGCCTTGACGAAGGAATTAGCATAAAAATTAGCATTTAATTGGCGGACTTAGCATGATGAACGGTGTAGAGGGGGTGAACATGTGCAGGTCGGCGAGGGGGGGAGTTTGGGATACCCCTACTTGAAAAAATATACTGTACCATTGAAAATTAGTTTAATGTTTGGTTTGATTCAGAACATCTTTCCAATGGTTGCTTAATTTGAAACCATCCTCTCGGTTGAAATTGTGTCTGTGTTTGTAAATCTGAATTGCCTCGTGAACAAATCTCTGATAAAAACCCGTGGGTTTGCAAAGAACCTTGGTATCAGGGAAAATTATATCGTGATCACCCACAGTGTTGTAACAGTGATCAGCTATGGCAGAAGAATTCGTTCTGCCGTGTTTCAAATCTGATTTGTGCTCGCAAATTCGGTCAGAGACATGTCATTTCGTCTCCCTGATATAGGAGTCACCACAGGTGCAGATCAATTTGTAAACTCCGGGGTACTGTAAGTCAGGAATGACATCCTTCACGGAAGGGATCAGGTCACGGATTTTGTGTACTGTATTGAACCGGACCAGGATCTTGTGTTTGTTCAGAATTTTGGAGGTCTTTTTAGTAACGCCTGCTATATATGGTAGTGTGATGGTTTTGATCGGAGTATCAAGTGGTTGTTTCTGTATGCAGGGAGAAACAGCTTGGCGGATGGTACGGTCAGAGTATCCATTCCTTTTTAGGGCCAGATGTACATGTTTTAATTCACCGGTCAGGTGGTGTTGGTCCGAAATGCAATGAGCCCTGTGGTATAACGTTTTGATGAGATAATTATTTTGCGTCGGGTGGTGGTGGGAATCAGGTTTCAAGTAGGAATCTGTGTGGGTGGGTTTCCTGTAGACAGAATGTCCCAATGAGCCATCAGGTCTCCTCTCAAACAGGACATCCAAGAATGGCAGCTTGCCATCTTTCTCCACTTCCATGGTAAATTTGATGGCGGGGTGTCTGGAATTAATGTGGTCTAGGAAAAGGTTCAAAGCCGGGAGGCCATGTGGCCAAATGACGAAAGTGTCGTCTACATATCTCTTCCACAGGGAAGGTCTGAGGGTGGAAGTCTGGATGGCGTCTGATTCAAATTTCTCCATGAAAATATTGGCTATCACTGGTGACAAGGGGGATCCCATGGGGGTACCCTCATTTTGTTTGTAGAAGGAGCCATTCCAAGTAAAGTAGCTTTAAATCTAGAATTAAAGTAGGTATTGTTGAGGCAGTGCCTAACCAGTGCAGGTGTATCGGGGTCTAGTCCATGTTGGACCAAATTTTCAATTATTTCAATGGTATCAGGTACTGGGACCTTGGTGAACAAAGAGACCACATCGAAGCTGACAAGGATATCGTCAGGGGACAGTACAACGTCTTTGACCATAGAGACATATACTTACGACTCATCGGATTCAATAAAAAAACAGGCATATCATACAAGTAAAGTATGACCTTAAGTTTTGATTATAGTGTGCTGATCTTTAAAGGTGCATTGAAAAATGTTGATACTCCTGTTGATACTCCTGCTGTTATGGAGTGACTTATGTTGCCAACTATGGCTGAAAAGTTTGTTCGTACGTGTTATGTATATATCTTCTTTGGTTCTTTCGGTAAAGTCACGTAGAATGAGAATAAAATAATAAATTGATAAAATAAAATAGCACAATAATATTCTCACGACGTTTCGGCCACAACACAAGCGGCCTTCATCAGGTGAAGGGACGAGACTGTCTGGTAGGACAGCGCTGGAGTGAAAGAGCCACGTTCAGATCACGACCTTTAAGCTGTGTGAGAGGAAACAAAGCGCCTTGACAAAGGAATTAGCATATAATTTAGCATTGAAATGGCTGAGTGATTAGCTTGTGACTGGTCACAGAAATAGCTATGTTAAAAGTTAAAGCATACACATCCGCAGAGGCTGTGTATGCTATTTCTGTGACCAGTCACAAGCTAATCACTCAGCCATTTCAATGCTAAATTATATGCTAATTCCTTTGTCAAGGCGCTTTGTTTCCTCTCACACAGCTTAAAGGTCGTGATCTGAACGTGGCTCTTTCACTCCAGCGCTGTCCTACCAGACAGTCTCGTCCCTTCACCTGATGAAGGCCGCTTGTGTTGTGGCTGAAACGTCGTGAGAATATATTGTGTTATTTTATTTGATCAATTTATTATTTTATTCTCATTCTACGTGACTTTACCGAAAGAACCAAAGAAGATGAATCATTGCAGTCACGAAAGCTTTAAATCGAAATTTATGTATATATCGTTTATTGTTAAATTTGAATCACAGTTCCTATGATCACTCTTACATAGTTTTTATATCTTTATTTTGGTGATTTCGAAAACGTTTTGGTCAAGCCATGTTTGTTTAAAGTACAGCGTTAGACTGATAACTTTATTCTCAATTGTTTTATGGTTGTTATATTGCACAAAGCGTTGATATACGGCGTTTTTTTCAGGAAGATTTTGCTGTTTTCCTGGATGTCTGTCGCGCGTTGTCACTTTAAGATGTTCTTTGTTCATGTTTTTGTTTGTTGAGCTGCATGGCTCACAGGGCTATACCGAATGAATGAAACTGAAAAAAGGCACTAAATAAATGTTAACTACAATAGCGAAAGGGCTTCAGGAGAGAGCTCATGCAAGTCCTGTTGTTCCTACATTGAAGAGACTGAGACCACACTCGCTTATTATGTGGTCCATCATTTGGGTTCACAGTTCCATTGCTTATTTAGTATTACAGTTCTTATTCTCCTAAACACGTTCAATTCACACGCAAATATTTTTTTTACATTCAACTTTTTTGTGTCTGCGTATGAATATGTAAGGTTTTTAAGAGAAGTTTTGAAGTGCATTTTTTTTACCCGGGCAACGCCGGGTACTTACCGCCAGTATATTATAATTGCGGCCTTGATTTACTGGGTAATACTCCGCGCTACCTTTACCCGACCGTTAACCTTACCCCGTGGCATGTCGACACCTTCACCCTTTTACCCGTTTTTTTTTAGCTTGCTGCCATACCCGCACTCCCAGTGTCTGCAGCACGCTCCCCCACCCCCCAGGCCCGCTGATTGCCCAATTCGAGCATTGTGTACTCACCAGCCGTGTCTCATCAGGATCTTCACTCTCCCCTACACCCCCTGCATCTCTCCCCCCTGGCTCCTCCCCCCCCCCCCCCTCTTACCTTATACAATAACTTGTCACAAACAGCTCTCTTTGCCCACGACAGTAATATTTTTTTTGCTGTGATTGTCCCACCTGATGACGGAAGCTTGGGTGTTGCTTCCGAAACGTCGTGATTTAATTTATTTCTATTTTTTATTCTTATTTTAAAAGTTTCATTTTTATTTTTTTTATTTTTTCTACCTACGTGACTTTACCGAAAGGGGGGTCATAGAGTATGGATCCATGCAGTCACGAAAACTTCAACTCTAGAGTGTAAATCACCTCGCCTTGCCGAGGCCTACGAAACTTCGTGTTTTTTTGTTTTTATTTAAAAAATTTCATATTTTTATTTATTTTCCATCTCCACGTGACTTTACCGAAAGAACCAAGAATGTGAATTCCTGCAGCTTTTATTTAAAGTTTATATATATTTTTTTATTTTCCATCTCCACATGACTACGGAAAGAAACAAGAATGTGAATTCCTGCAGTCACGAAACTTTTTTTACGTCAAAATTTAACAGCCCCCTTTATTTAAACCACGCCCCCTTTTTAAATTCCCGCCCATTCACATTTAACCACGCCCCTCGTATAACCACGCCCCTGCTGTAAACCCACCCTTCAAATCATGCCCCCCCCCCCCCCCGTGTTTAAACCACGCCTCTTCTCGAACACGACGCCCCTTATTTTAAACACGCCTCCTTCCTATCTTTAGGTCACGCCCCTTATTTAAACCCCGCCCCCCTCCACAAGTTTCCAGGTCCCCCTCCCCCACCTCTACGACTTCGGCCTTCGGTGGCCCGGCTGGGCCCGCGTGGAGTGCAAGGGGGAGGAGAGGAGAACCCCCCCCCCCCCCCGACGCTGTCTCGGTGTCTCTCTGTGTCTGTGTCTCTCTGTGTGTCTCTCTGTCTCTCTCTGTGTCTCTCTCTGTCTCTCTCTGTGTCTCTCTGTGTCTCTGACTCTCTCTGTCTCTCTCTGTCTCTCTCTGTCTCTGTGTCTCTCTGTGTCTCCCTCTGTGTCTCTCTGTCTCTCTGTCTGTGTCTCTGTCTGTCTGTGTCTCTCTGTGTCTCTGTCTGTGTCTCTCTGTGTCTCTGTCTCTCTGTGTCTGTCTGTGTCTCTCTGTGTCTCTGTGTCTCTCTCTGTGTCTCTCTCTGTCTCTGTGTCTCTGTCTCTCTCTCTCGGTCTCTCTCTGTCTGTGTCTCTCTGTGTCTCTGTCTCTCTGTGTCTGTCTGTGTGTCTCTCTCTCTGTCTCTCTCTCTCTGTCTCTCCCCCACCGGTGCCAGCCGTTGCTGCTACGACTCCTACAACAGCAGCTACGGGTGCTACTACTGCTACAGCTGCTACTGCTGCTACTACTGCTGCTACAGCTACAGCTGCTACTGCTGCTACAGCTGCTACAGCTGCCACTGCTGCTGCTACTACAGCTGCTACTGCTACGACTTTGTGACTGCGACTGACTGTAGTGAGGCTACAGCTGCAGTGAGGCTGTGACTGACACAGTCAAAGACTGGCAGCTACAGCTGTTCGTGAGACTGTGACATCACCCGGTCTCTTAGACAGCCTGCGCCACTACAGCTGACATCACCCGGTCACTTAGACAGCCTGCGCCGGTACAGCAGACATCACCCGGTCTCTTAGACAGCCTGCGCCACTACAGCTGACATCACCCGGTCACTTAGACAGCCTGCGCCGGTACAGCAGACATCACCCGGTCTCTTAGACAGCCTGCACCACTACAGCAGACATCACCCGGTCTCTTAGACAGCCTGCACCACTACAGCAGACATCACCCGGTCTCTTAGACAGCCTGCACCACTACAGCAGACATCACCCGGTCTCTTAGACAGCCTGCACCACTACAGCAGACATCAACCCGGTCACTTAGACAGCCTCCACCACTACAGCAGACATCACCCGGTCACTTAGACAGCCTGCACCACTACAACAGACATCACCCGGTCACTTAGACAGCCTGCACCACTACAGCAGACATCACCCGGTCTCTTAGACAGCCTGCGCCACTACAGCAGACATCACCCGGTCTCTTAGACAGCCTGCACCACTACAGCTGACATCACCCGGTCTCTTAGACAGCCTGCACCACTACAGCTGACATCACCCGGTCTCTTAGACAGCCTGCACCACTACAGCAGACATCACCCGGTCTCTTAGACAGCCTGCGCCGGTACAGCAGACATCACCCGATCACTTAGACAGCCTGCACCGGTACAGCTGACATCACCCGATCACTTAGACAGCCTGCACCGGTACAGCTGACATCACCCGGTCTCTTAGACAGCCTGCACCGGTACAGCTGACATCACCCGGTCTCTTAGACAGCCTGCGCCGGTACAGCAGACATCACCCGGTCTCTTAGACAGCCTGCCCCACTACAGCTGACATCACCCGGTCTCTTAGACAGCCTGCGCCACTACAGCTGACATCACCCGGTCTCTTAGACAGCCTGTGCCATTACAGCTGACATCACCCGGTCCCTTAGACAGCCTGCGCCGGTACAGCAGACATCACCCAGTCTCTTAGACAGCCTGCGCCGGTACAGCAGACATCACCCGGTCTCTTAGACAGCCTGCGCCACTACAGCAGACATCACCCGGTCACTTAGACAGCCTGCGCCGGTACAGCAGACATCACCCGGTCTCTTAGACAGCCTGCACCACTACAGCAGACATCACCCGGTCCCTTAGACAGCCTGCGCCACTACAGCAGACATCACCCGGTCCCTTAGACAGCCTGCACCACTACAGCAGACATCACCCGGTCCCTTAGACAGCCTGCGCCGGTACAGGTGGCCAGCGTCGTCGGTTGAGTTCACCGCACGCGCTGGCCCTGTGTGAATGGACGTCGCTGCTGCTGCTGCTGCTCCTGCTGCTCCTGCTGCTGCTGCTAGCAATAGCAGCAGCAGCAACAGCAGCAGCAGCAGGTTCTAGGGTGAACGCACGCATCGGTGGGAGTGGATTCGCCGGCTTGCAGCGGCAGCATGGGCAGCAGCAGGATGAGAAGCAGGGACGGGAAGATGAGAAGCAGCTGCAGCAGGGACAGGAAGATGAGAAGCAGCTGCAGCTGCAGCAGGATGGGAAGCAGCAGGGACAGGAAGATGAGAAGCAGCCGCAGCACGAGGACGACGTGGAGGGGCGCGGTGGCGGCACGGAGGAGGTGCCGGACGACGACGAGGAGGAGGAGGACGATGAGGAGGAGGGGGGTGACGGCATGGCGGACTGGGCGGTGAGTGGCGACGCCGACTCGAGGCCGTCCAAGCCGCCGCTGTCGGAGGTTCGCAGCCTCCGGAGAAGGAGGAGGAGGAGCTCGCCGCTGTTGCCGGCATTCTGGGAGCCGGGCGGCGGTGGTGGCGGCGGAGGCGGCGGCGGCACTGGCGGTGGCGGTGGTGCCGGCGACACGGGCGGTGGCGGTGGTGCCGGCGACACGGACGATGGCGGTGCCTACAGGAGGAGGGTGTCGCTGCCGTGCTTCCCACGCGAGCAGGTGGGTCGGGAAGGTGCGGTGTGCCGTGGGGACGGTGGGCGGTGAGCTCCGGCGGTGGGCGGTGAGCTCCAGCAGTGAGCTCCAGCGGTGAGCTTCAGCGGTGAGCTCCACTCATCCACTCACTCATTCACTCACCCACTCACTCATTCACTCACCCACTCACTCATCCGCTCATTTACTCACTCATCCACTTACTCATCCACTCATTCACTCATTCACTCACTCATCCACTCACTCATTCACCCACTCACTCATCCACTCACTCATTCATCCACTCATTCACCCACTCATTCACCCACTCACTCATCCACTCATCCACTCACTCATCCATTCACTCATTCATCCACTCACTCTTCCACTCATTCACTCATCCACTCATTCATTCACTCACTCATCCACTCATCCACTCATCCATTCACTCATCCACTCACTCATTCACTCATCCACTCACTCATAGACTCATCCAATCATTCACTCACTCATCCACTCACTCATTCACTTTCGTCCAATCACTCATTCACTCACTCACTCATCCGCTCATTCACTCACTCATCTGCTCCATCATTCACTCACCCACTCATATACTCACTCATCTGCTCATTCACTCACTCATTCAACCACTCACTCATCCACTCACTCATCCACTCACTCATTCATACAATCACTCATCCACTTACTCATCCACTCACTCACTCATCCACTCACTCATCCACTCACTCATCCATTCACTCATCCACTCACTCATTCATCCACTCACTCTTCCACTCATTCACTCATCCATTCATTCACTCACTCGCTTATCCACTCATTCACCCACTCAGTCATCCACTCACTCACTTATCCACTCACTCACTCATCCACTCACTCATCTACTCACTCACTCATCCAATCACTCACTCATCCAATCACTCACTCATCCAATCACTCACTCATCCAATCACTCATCCACTCACTCATCCACTCACTCACTCATCCATTCACTCATCCACTCACTCATCCACTCATTCACTCACTCATCCACTCAACCATTCACTCGCTCACTCGTCCACTCAAAAAGTCTGCACTCTGCTGCTGTACCACCTTCGCCTGTCAGAGCCAGGGGTAGGGTTCCTCCTAAGGGTCTCTATGTAAACCCTACAGGTCTCTATGTAAACCCTACAGGTCTCTATGTAGACCCTACAGGGCTCTATGTAAACCCTACAGGGCTCTATGTAAACCCTACAGGTCTCTATATAAAAACCCTACAGGTCTCTATGTAAACCCTACAGGGCTCTATGTAAACCCAACAGGGCTCTATGTAAACCCTACAGGTCGCTATGTAAACCCTACAGGTCGCTATGTAAACCCTACAGGTCGCTATGTAAACCCTACAGGTCTCTATATAAACCCTACAGGTCTCTATGTAAACCCTACAGGTCTCTATGTAAACCCTACAGGGCGCTATGTAAACCCTACAGGGCTCTATGTAAACCCTACAGGGCTCTATGTAAACCCTACAGGGCTCTATGTAAACCCTACAGGTCTCTATGTAAACCCTACAGGGCTCTATGTAAACCCTACAGGGATCTATGTAAACCCTACAGGGCTCTATGTAAACCCTACTCTATGTAGGTGTAAGGTTACACCTCAACTTAAAACTTTTTAAGCTGTGAACTCTTACCAGGTAAGGCCTCACTGATCTATGGAGTAGCTCATTTTCAAAAGTGACCCTGACGATCGCAAATAATAGCCGGTCACCTAAGTAATGGTTGAGCTCAGCGAGGTAATTAACAGCTCCGAGCCACCGTGATGATGAGCGCGGGAATCGAACCCGAGTCGCCAGGTTCGTAGCGTAGCGCTAACCGCTACCACTACCGCTCCCAAGACACACACACACAGACACACAGACACACACACAGACAGACACACACACAGACAGACACATACACAGACACACCCAGATACAGACACACACAGACACACACACAGACACATACACAGACACACGCAGACACACACACAGACACACAGTCACACAGACATACACACAAACACAGACAGACACACATACACAGACACACATACACACACAGACACACAGACACACGCACAGACACACACAGACACAGACACACACAGACACGCACACACAGACACGCACACACACAGACATACACACAAACACACACATACACACAAAGACACACATACAGACACACAGACACACACACAGACACGCACACAGACACGCACACAGACAGGCACACACAGACACGCACACACAGACACGCACACAGACACGCACACAGACACACAGACAGGCACACACACAGACACACACACAGACACACACACAGACACACACAGACAGACACACACACACAGACAGACACACACAGACAGACACACGCAGACACACACACAGATAGACAGACACACACAACGACACGCACAAAGCCACGCACAAAGACACGCACACAGACACACACAGACACACACAGACACACACACAGACACACCCAGACACGCACCCACCCTAAAAATAGACACACATATAAAGGGCCCCCTTATAGCCTCAAACAGGCGGTCGGGGAAAGGGCTGTTAGCGAACAGCAGCAGTGCCGACGAAGATGACGTGGGCTCTTGGCGTGCCGAGCTGACCGACCCGGCTACCTGGGTTCGACTCCCGCTCCGACCGAATTGCCAACAACTGCGGCAGTGCCAGCGGCAAACGCCAAGTGGCGGTGACGTCGCCGCGGCGCCTTGTGCCAGGCTACGTGCACCGCGGAGGCAGCGTGATTGTTGCCGAAACGCCCGCCGGCAGGGGGTCACTGACCTGGCGGGTGGCACGGGTTCGGCTGGCTGAGGTGACTGGGCCGATTGCACCACCCGTGCCCCCTGCACTGTGCCAACTCTCGCTGCGCTTTAGCCACCCGGCGGCTCTGCTCGTTGTTGTGAGCGTCGCTCCTCCGCCCTCCGTTTGTTGTTGCTTGGAGGGCGACTGCCTCCGAATGCCCAGTAGCGACGTCCTTCACGGGCCTCCTCCACAGAGGCCGCTGGTACCAGTCATCGGCAAGTCCACTCAGCTTCGCATCCTCCTGTACCACATCACTCCATCTCTTCTCTAGCCCCGTGCCTCCTGTACCACATCATTCCATCTCTTCACTAGCCCCGTGCCTCCTGTACCACATCACTCCATCTCTTCTCTAGCCCCGTGCCTCCTGTACCACATCACTCCATCTCTTCTCTAGCCCCGTGCCTGCTGTACCACGTCACTCCATCTCTTCTCTAGCCCCGTGCCTCCTGTACCTCATCACTCCATCTCTTCTCTAGCCCCGTGCCTCCTGTACCACACCACTCCATCTCTTCTCTAGCCCCGTGCCTGCTGTACCACGTCACTCCATCTCTTCTCTAGCCCCGTGCCTCCTGTACCGCATCACTCCATCTCTTCTCTAGCCCCGTGCCTCCTGTACCACACCACTCCAACTCTTCTCTAGCCCCGTGCCTCCTGTACCACATCACTCCATCTCATTCTCTGGCCCGTGCTGCGCCCATTTAGCCACCTCGCTATCCGGCCAAGCAGAAGCTACTTGGGCATGCGGTGGCTTGGCATGCGGGCTACGTGACCCAGCAAACGCAGCCTTGCTTGCGGGAGGAACTCACCGATGATGGAAACGTGTCCAAATCTTTCAACGATCTGTGAGCTCCTCACACAATCCAGCCTGGTTAAATCCCAGGATGGATCGTAGGCAGGCCAGCCTAAATGTTTCTAACCGGCGAAGATGTTCCATTAGCTTGGCCCCACATTTTGCAAGTGTAGAGAAGGGAGGGAATGACCGTGGCCGAGAAGACCTGAAGCTTCCCGTGAGGAGCGACAGACCAGGTAGCTTCCACACAGCGTTACGCAACCGATGAAAAGATAATGCCACTCGGCTGATTCGGAGCGAGACCTCTGCTGTTAAACCGGAGCCGATCATGAGCACACTGCCCAGCTATGGGAAACTCTCCACTGGGTGGAGTGTCCAATGGTACAAAATACCCAGGCAGGTGCTTAGTTTTGGTGGGGCTGATGGTAAGGCCCCACCTCTTAGTGGCAAGCTCCAAGTTCAGCAGCAGCACCTCCAACTCCTCATCTGAGTGAACAGGAATTACCAGATAATCGGCATACACAACATGGTTCAGCAATAGGGAACCATCCCTTGACCGCACCCGGGCATCGATCAGTCTTCCATTATATCTGTACCAGATGGAAATTCCTCCCGTACAGCCATTGAACGCTTCACGAACTACGTGGTCGAAAAATATGTTAAATAATGTGGGAGCCAGAGGACGTATCTTTTGCACCCCAAGGTGAACAGGAAATGGCTCTGACTCCTGGCCACGTAGTTTTACCTGGGTCAGCTCACCATCATGAAGGTTCTGAATGAGCAGAGGGTCAGACACTCCGAAAGCACGAAGAACAACCCAGAGCCCAGGCCAACTGATGGTGTCATAGGCCTTGACCAGGTCAATAAAGCAGAGATGTAGGTCTTGTTGGAATTCCCTACACCTCTGTTGTAGCAGACGGACAGAAAATATGGCATCTGTGCAGGACCGCCCTTTCCTGAAACCGCATTGGAACACTACAAGCTTCTCAGCGTGCCTGGCAAGGCGATGTTGAATAATCCTTGCCAGGACCTTTCCCGGCACACTGAGGAGTGAGATGCCCCTGTAGTTGTTACAGTCTGTGCGGTCCCCCTTCTTAAAGAGGGGGACCACCAGGGCATCCTTCCAGTCCTGCAGAACCCGTCCAGTGGCCCAGACTGATGATATGATGTCAAATAGGGCAGTCTGTGCACAAACGCCACCCTCAGCATTTCACTTGGGAGTTCATCTCTGCCCGGTGCCTTTCCTGGTCTCAGACTCTGGATCGCCTTCAGCACTTCCTCAACAGATGGCACCTCAGCCAGCCACTCACAGGGGGTGACTTCTTCCAATATTTGGGACACACTTACACACACTCAGTTTGAACCACACACGAG